TGCCAGATCGAGATTTCACTGTTCGGCCGCACTCATCGGCGGTAACATTCCCTCGCCCGTAAACGAGTGTATATTCGCGAGTTTACTCTCCTCATTACCGACGTCCAGTACCGCGATTTTCGCTACAGGTCGATGAAGTATGCTGGACTTAGTTTGCACCACCACGCTTCGGACTTGACCGTCTTTAGCTCTGACGGAATCCACGACTTTGCCTATCGGCCAGCAATTCCTCGGCAGATCATGGTCCACAATCACCACTACATCGCCGATGCACACTGGTTTTTGCTTGGCGAACCATTTACTGCGTCGTGAAATGATTGGCACGTATTCTTTGACCCACCTGTGCCAAAAACGGTCTGCAAACAGCTGCGCCTGGCGCCAGCGTTGTCGTAGGTTACCAGTATCTCTGCATATTGGTTTATAACCGTCAGATGAGCCGATCAAAAGATGATTTGGCGTGAGTGCTTCATCATCGCCGTGTTCCAGTGAAACGAAGGTCAGTGGACGAGCGTTTATAACGAACTCGACTTCACATAATGCACAGCGCAAGCTCTCGTCGTTAAAATTCGACGCTGGAAGTATTTCGCGCAACACGGTTTTTATCGTCCTTACGAGCCTCTCCCAGATGCCTCCCATGTGGGGAGCGCCTGGTGGGTTAAATCTCCATTTTATTCCGTCAAAGCTGGAGACAAGACTCTCGAATTTCACACTTCTGAGGCTTTCGCAAATAATCTTTTCCGTTGCTTTGAAGTTAGTACCATTATCAGAAAATATCTCCTTTGGGTACCCGCGGCGTGCAATAAAGTTTTTAATAGACATCATACATGAGCTTGTATCCAGGCTGTGAGCAAGCTCGATATGTACGGCCCGCAGGGTCAAGCACGTAAATAAAACGCCCCATCTCTTCTCTCGTCTTCTCCCAACGGCGACGTTTAGTGGGCCAAAGTAATCGACGCCTACGTACGTGAAAGGCCTCTCGAAGGCCGCGAGCCGTGCCGCTGGTAGAGCTGCCATTTGAGGTATTTGAGGCATTGCGCTCGAGTTCTTACATTTTTGACATGTACGACGTACCTGTCTGTAAAGCACCCTGAGTCGAGGTATGAAATATTGACTTCGCACCCGATTGATAATCGTCTCATGCATTAGATGATGAAGGTTTTCATGCATCCACCGCACTATAAGGAAGGTTATATGGTGAGAATTAGGTAAAATTATAACGTCGCTGTGGTTATTTAGATGCTCCGCACGGCCTCTGCTCCTAATTATTCCTTCTGAGTCCAGGTAAATATTTAAGGAATATAGTTTGCTGGACTTCTCGATGGTCTTACCGCGTTGTAGGTAACTAATCTCTTCACTAAATTCGGTACTCTGTGCGTATTTCACCAGGAAACTTTGGGCTCGTTTCGTGTCTTCGAAGTCTATCGTGATCTTTTTAGAGCTAGCACCTCTTATCACTGATCGCAGCCTGTTTACATATAACGCAAATGTGGCCACGGCTCGGTATAAACGTTTCCAGTTGGAGAAGTATTCGGTGTTGACTGTAATTTTTTGCAACTGCAGCCCGTCGATACGCAAAACGAAATTTCTGAGCTCTGGAACTTTAACCGTATTAACGCTCATTTCGTCACACTGCGGCCATGCCTTTTGGTCCAAAACTAAGAAATCCGGGCCAGTGAACCAGAGCCGGTAGTTTGATCGCGTTGTAAATTTGGTGGCTACGTCGGCGGGGTTAGCTTTCGATGGAACCCAACGCCACTGGTTGACATTTGAAGCTTCTAGGATTTCGCCCACTCGATGCATAACGTATTGGTGGAAGTGTTTTGGATCCATACGAATCCAACGCAGTACGGTTTTGGAGTCCGTCCACCAATGCTTCGACTTAATAGGGATTCGCTGCACACTCGTTACCATATCGGCCAGCCTTGTGCCGATCACGGCTGCTTGCAACTCAAGCCTTGGGATAGAGAGTGGTTTCAATGGCGCGACTTTCGATTTCGCGGCTACCAGGGAAACCGTTACATCGTCATCTCTCTTAACCCGCAGATAGCAGACTGCTGCGTAGCCGCCCTCCCCCGCGTCCACGAAAGTATGGAGTTGGACGTCTTGTGCATCTTGCAATAATGGAGAAAAACATCTGGATATATTGACGTCACGTATAAGCTGCATTACGTTTTTCCATTGACACCATTTGTTGTTCAGATCGTCGCGCAACGGCTCGTCCCAAGCGATTCCGGCGCGCCATACTTCTTGCAGTATAATTTTTAGGCCTATGGTATAGCAGCTTACGAATCCAAGTGGGTCGAAGATTGACATAAGTACTTGCAGAATCTCCCTTTTTGTTGGTGTGAGTGATTCATTGACAACGTCTCGACGAAGCTTCGTGAACCTGCAAATATACTTAAAACTGTCATTAAGGGGGTCCCAAAACATACCTAGGACCTTCGTCGCCGAGCCCCATTCTTTAATTTTCGCAGTAGTAATTGGGTCTTCCTCTAGCTTCTCGACTACGGACGTCAAGTTTGAAGACCAACCTCGGATTTGGAAGCCGGCAGCAGCGTGGATTTGTTTTATTTGCTTTGCTAGTTCCAGAGCAGATTTTTCGTCATCTGCACTTTCGATCAGGTCGTCCACATAATGGCTTTTCTTAATTGCCTCGACTGCCCGAGGGAACTGGTCCTTGAAGTCGTCTGCATTTTTGTCGCGTATAAAGTGTGCGATGCAAGGCGCACAATTTAGCCCAAACGTCATAGCGCGCATCACGTAAATGCTTGGATACCGAGCTTTGTCGCCTTCATCGTACCACAAGAAGCGCTGCGCGTGCATGTCGCCTTCTCGTATGTTAACACGATGAAACATTTCGGCGATGTCGCCGCATACACCAACCTTGCCTACTCTAAATGCCAATAGAATATTCACTAGGGAGTTTAGCAAATCTGGGCCGCTGAGAAGAAAGTCGTTAAGTGATGCTCCGTTCGCCTTCGCGGCTGCGTCCCATACCAGCCGAATTTTACCGGGCTTGTTTTGGTTTGTTACCACGAATATCGGTAGGTACCATATTTTTCCCTTTGGGATCGCGGCTTCAGCGGGCGAGAGTTTCCGCGCGTATCCTTTGACGATTAAGTTGTCAATTTGCCTCTTAATGATGGATTCCAAGACGGTGTCTTTATCTAGCTTCCGTTTTA